GGGTTTAGACTCTCTTACATCTGTATTGAATCCTAGATCACTCTTAGGAAGAAGTCTTAGTAGACCTGATTAGTAAGCTACCTGAGTCTTAGAGTTATAACACTATCTGTATGATTGTTGACTGATTCTCTAAGTAAGTCTATATGGTTCCAACCTGAACAGAACTCACTTCTGAAGGTATAGTGTACATTTATTAAAATCATGTCTTCTAGTTGTACAGACTCTCTCAGAAACTCATTCATGATTGTAGACTACAATTTGAGTTGAAATTTATACAGAACTTGTATACACTTCTCAGAATTCAAGAGAACCCTTCTACTACATATTACTTACAGACTGACAGTCAAACTGAGCAAGTCAATCAGAAGATTGAGCTCTATCTCTAAATGTTTATCAATTATTAACAGTCAGACTAGTCTGAATAGTTAGCTCTAACAGAATTCATGTATAATAACTAGCAACACTCTACAACAGGACAGTCCCTGTTCTTCCTCAATTATGAGAGACATTCATACTAGGAGACAGTTCTGAACTAGAATAATAGTTCTGAATCTGTAACAGACTTTACAGAATGAATACACAAGACTAGAGAAGACACACAAGCTCTTTTAAAGAAGGTAGTACAAGTAATAAAGTAGAACTACAATCAGAAGAGATCTGTAACTAAGGATTACTAGCCTAGGGACAAAGTTATACTAGAAGCTACTAACCTGACTATGGATCACCTAATAAAGAAGTTAGACAACAAGTGCTTCAGACCCTTTGTTATTAAAAAGAAGGTTAGCACCTCTACCTACAAACTCTAACTTCTAGTAATATAGAAGTGTATACACTCAGTGTTTAACAAGGTTCTACTGTCTTAGTACTATGATCCAGGTTTTCCTTTGTAACAAAGACCCCTACTACCTCTACTAGAACTTATTAGTTCTGAACCAGAATACAAAGTAGAGTATATAGTAGATACTAAGCTGGTACACAGAAAGCTCAAGTTCCTTATCTACTAGAAGGGATACTCAGTTGAAGAACACACTTAGGAACCTACTAAGAATCTCACCCATACTACTAAGACAATCTGAGACTTCTATCAACTTCATCTAGGTGCTCTACATTAACTCTACCTTACAGATTTCCAAACCCTACTGTTCTAACCTATACTTAAACTACTAACCAAGCCTAATGTTTACCAATCAGGACAATTGGTTTTAGAGGGGAGGTGATGTTACAGTTCTCTACTCTCATACCTTTAGTTCTACAGGTTCTACACTCTTCTGTACCAGAACTCAGAACTTCTGTCCCTCAGGGGTGCTGTCTATAAACTATATACATACTGACTCTTACTACTACCCTTCCTTACTTCATTATTCTATTCCTTTGACCACCCCTTTATTCTTTGTTCATTCTATAGTCTCTTACCCTTTGTCTATCCCTTCATTCTTTGTACCTTTATCTTTGACCTTCCTTTCTTTCATTCTTTGTAACTTATCATTCTTAGTAGCTCATACTCCCTGAGTACTCTTGTGTAGTTTAGTATATATAAGTGTACAAGATCAGACTGGTCCTGTAGTCTTAATCTTGTTTACTCTAGGTAGTTCTGTACTCTTAGGCTCACTCTATATACTCTACTCTTGTCTCACTCCCTCTCTCTGTCTGCTCCACAAGTTCTGACTACATTCTAGTGCTTACATTCTGTGTTTCTGTTGTGTAGGATAGTTGTAGCCTGGGCCCCCTCACTGAGCCTTTGGGTCCCCTCTACACTATTACTAACAATCTAGTATATAATTCAGTTGTAAACTTTCTCAGTCTTTACAAAGTACTGTTAACACTTACACAGCCTTAGTAACTGAATCTGAAACAGTTTCAGGACTGGATCCCTTAGAAATGAGAACAGTTTAAGAGTGTAAAGAGAAAGTCTAGTACTCTTAAATGCTAGACACAGACATAACTAAAGTAATATACTACCTTTATACATGTATGTAACTGTATAATATGTGCTACATTGTTTATTACAAACATTTGAGAAATTAGCCAGAGCCTACTTATATGTACTAAAAAATAGAATATATTTTAACTAATGTTTAATATAATTTGAATGTAATCATACTATATTCAGCAGATTACTAGTGTCTAAAAAACCTGGATAACTGTAGTTTAAGAGCATTCTATCTTCAGTCCTGAGCTTATTGAGTCAAAATGTAATGTGAGTGTTGAGTACTATACTGTTACAGGTTTTACAGGCTACAGTAATGAAATTGTAAATTTATTAATGTCTTCTAATATTGTTACTACTACTAAACAAGTAGCTAAGGAAACTAAACACAGAGTACAGTACAAGGCCTGTAGATACACATAAGGAGGCTTCTGACTAGATTGACTCCTGATTCACTAGGAGTGTTAATTCTGTGATTTGGATTTTGTATAGAATTTAGAAAATCTGCTAGTAGGAAGTTATTAGCAAAGATACTTTAAACAACTTAACAATGTCAGCATACCTACTTGTGTCTTCTGCAACCAGGTTTCTCCCTCCTAACCTCCACTGTCACAAATACAGGTTTCTAGTTGGCTGGAAGTTCTAATATTTTATCACCACTATCTAATGAACTAAGATTGCCTGAAAGCTACAAATCACAGACTGTAATATGAACAATGACTATTGCCCAGAGTATTACTTGTACTTCTCATTGACTCAAACTTTGTGTTTCCAGTATCTGAGCTGTACAGTCTATTCTGTCTTGCTGCTCCTATGTAGTATGTACATTGTTGTGATGGTCAGATGCAATCAAACAATACAAGCATTTTGTATCCATACAATTATATTTGGTGGAACAACAGTGAAGCAACATTAAAAATAATAAGATGAGCAAGATAAGAATCAATGTATTCACCGTCATCACAGCAGTCGTTTCTAGATCTGTGGGCAAGGAAATAGCCACTCAATATTAGTGGAGAATGAAAGTTGAAACGCGAAACTTAAGAGCTAATAAGATCGGCGTTCAGTTACTGTTGTTGGATACAAACGATCAATTTTTATAATCCGGCGCTGACACATACTCATCCTATGTCATGTCATAAGAAATCAATCCAATGGAAAAATCCCTACAATCACACACGAAGGTTTTCCTGTCTTCGAGACTTCTGCTATCCTCTTGTACGCCGCTCAGCAATACAATAAGGAAAATATCTTCTCGCGTGATGCTGTGAAGGACCCGAAAGGGTATAGTGAAATCTTGCAATGCTGTTCGTCGTAGGTGTCCACGTCTTCCTGTCGCGTAGTTTGAAGGTATGAGTGATTAAATTAACGTTTTCGCAGCATGGTAGTGTCGTTCCCATGCAAGGCCAATCAAGCAAGCCATTTCAGCTTCATCCCAGAGAAGTTGTAAGCCTCTCTTAGTCTCTCAGTCAAATTCACCCCCACTATCTCATCTCTCCACTCTACTAAACGAACTGCCTCTCCTGCCGTTTTAGTCCATATATCATCAACCGCTACCAAAACGAGACAAAACGTCTCTACGGCGTCCTCGAATCCTGTCTCTCAAAACAAGACTACCTCGTAGGGAACGAATACAGTATCGCTGACATCAAAGCCTTCGGCTGGGCACGCGCCCTTGAACGTGTTGGACTTTCGTTCTCTGAGTTCCAAAAGTTAAGGCGTGGGTTGACCGTATTGAAGCGAGGCCTGCTGTCAAGGCTGCGTTAACTGCAATTTCGATCTGAAGGATTATATGTAGACCGGAGAAAAGCACATAACTAAATTACAAAATGGCTATGATTTACAGCATTGAATTATTAAGAAACAGAGTTCATGTAGGACACAGGCATCTGACCTAGGAATATTGCCCATTTGGCATATACGTTGAAATCCGTCTTGCATTACAGTGTTCTGTTGCTTTAACCAGCGTTTTCTTTGCTTGCCACCAATCATTCAATGTGACATAGCATTTTTGTGAAATCAATCTAGGGATGACAACAGTATTGAGTCTGGTTCACTAGTTTCTAATACCAAACCAGAGGAATCCTCAGCTGCGGCATGCCAGGGTGGCAGTGTTGTCAGTTCCTCGTTAGGTCGGTAATACTCTCTCCTTAGGTTCACAAGGAGTCGAGGTGCTAGGATTGTCATGATTGTTATTACTACTGTTTGATATGAGTTCCTTTGATGTGAGAGGAACTCAAATAGGAATTCGTTCATCTAAAAAAGAGCCCAGTCATTAGTGTAGTATCAGACATTACAAACTGGTAGACTCACGAATAGCTTGCTATACTCCAAGACAAATACAAGGATTGTACCAAGTAGACATATTGAGAATATTCTTCAAGAGTGATTATAGAGAAGTTCAGGATACAGAGAATATATATATATATATACTAACACGCACATTGCAAAGTAAAAGATGGAGTCTTTTGCTAATATTGCAGCAATATCCTGATTCGGTTGCTGGCTACTAGTCAAGTTGCACACGGATGCTATCATTTTTCTATGTTGAAAGGCCTTCCATATCACCAAAAGGAATAAGAGGAGCTCCACAGTCGAGGTAACGGCCCATGCAATTCCAGACATAGGAAGTGCTGAAATGCATGATGAAGGATCACTTAATGTTACACCATTGTAGCCACTTGTTGGTGAACCTGTTTCCCAGCTATCTAAATGGAAATTGATGAATTAACACTTTTATCAATAAAGAATGAAGAAATCACAGATTTCATCCTTACCTAACACAGGTGTGAGCTGCAGAATATTGAAAGCCAACAGAGCCGTCAATAATATGACTGAGGCAACAAATGCTTGTTTGGACCTCCCGAATAGTGCATATACACGTATCACAAGAATAACTATGTAAAATGATGAGTGTCTTTAAAAATGCATTTATTGTACTTGATACAGAATTGTGTACCTTCAGCAAGTAGCACAATCATTGACCCAAGACCAGTGAATAGCCTGCCGTTGAAGCCTTACACGAAGGATGAGTATATATTAACAGATGAAGAAAGAATATATATGCTCACAAGACTGAAAGAACTTTGGCACGTCCTGCTAATTACGCCCATGTAAGAGACACTTGTTAGATACTAGAACAATGACGGCAAACCTCCTTAAATATTCCAAATATATCTTCCCACCGTATTTTTGTCGAGCTTGCCAAAAGATAGCTGTTCTACTATTAATTATGTATCCAACCATTTATATTCTGTGTACATACGTCAAGAAGAAAGCACCAAGATATCGAGTCTGTTTCTTAAAGTAAATTAAATCCTCACTGTATTGAATATACAGCCACACACCAGCAGATACATGATTTTCCCAATTGTCCATTTTTGTAGCTTTTTAAAGGCAAAAGGGATAATGCAAGACCAAATGTTAACCCAGTTATAATAATAATATACTTAGGTTTGTTTACCCATATGTATTCAACCTATCAAGAATCGCATCAGATAAACTGTATATATATGTAAATACAAAGTCAAACCTCTTCATCAAAGTGTAAAGCTTTTTGTCCAATTAAGACTGGGATAAAAAAAAAGGTCTGTAGGCTCACCGGCATAGTAAAAGTGAAATGTAGTACACGAGACTGGCAATACACAAATGAGACAGTATGTTTAAGCAGGTACACAAGCATGAAACCTGACCTGTTATTACTTTGAAAAAGTGCTGTCATAAGCAACATGTTCATAGAAGTCTACAGAGGATGACATGAGTATTTACATCACGAAAAAGTCGCAACAAATGTATTTAATAATAGCAAAAGTAATCTAATAAGATGATTTCATAAGCATTACATTTTAAAATAATACTTATATTTTACTTGTAATGTAATTATAATGATTGTATATAAATGTAAGAAATATACAAAGTTTCTATTAAACTACAAACATGTTTTAGAGCAAATAAGCTTACTAATGGTATTATTACAACATTACATGTGAGGTACAAGTACTCAACTCTTATTGTAATCTGTTAAAATTATATTATAAGTAATTTGTAACAATAGTTGATTAATTATAATAGTCATAAAAGTAATACATTGTACTTGTAAGTTAATTACAATACTTTTAGTACAATAATATGTAATTATATATATTAATATTGTTAACAATCACCCTGTTAGGCTTATAATATAATTTAGTTTTCTATTAAACTATATATCGAAGTGCTTACATAATCGAATACCGAAGATTGAGAGCATATAATGACGCACTTGTTCTCGTCACTCCTTTCCCTCCTACCTCCACCATCTCCCCCAACCCTCTTCCCCCATCACTATGTCGTTGCTTTTGTCCTCTCCAGTCCAGTCCTCTGCCTACAAGCGTCCTCCAGCAGGCACACTGCCTGCAACCACCTAGACAATAAACATCGCTGTATTGTCTCTCCAATCTGCTGTTGCGATGCCCGTGTTGAGCCTCAGATCCTGTGACGACACGACCCAGCTGGCTACACCGTCCTTCAGTGTAAATTGTAAGCAGCCAGCCCACTTCATAATAACGCGCACAATAGTTGCTCATCCCTTTCCTCCCAACTTTTTGTCTCCTTTTCATCCCTCCCGCTCCTCGTTCTGCCTCTTGCGTTGCCTCTCCTTCGTTGTCCTCCTTTTTATTATTCTTGCCTTCTTTTTTACAGTTGCATTCGCGCATCCGCATTGTTGATCAATGCTAAACGACTTCTCAATAATTACATGCATTCGCGTACTTCTTGCCGCTCAGCAACGCAAGCAACAATCGATGAGCACACACGAGCACGCTTGCGACAACGTCCATGTACCACCACTCTCAAGGCGCAATCCTCTCTCCGACCCCCCGCCCACTCTCCTTCTCTACCCATTCCATGTTTGACATCATCCTCGATGGGCTCACACTGCGTGCATTTACATTCCCTAGTGCCGTGCATGACACCATTTCGAACGGAAGCAGTGACCCACCACTCCCCACCTGAGGCGAGTCCGTCTGCCTTCCACTTCACCTTCACCTTTCGAGCCGGAACGTCCTAGAGATACACCTTGCAATCAACGACTCAGTTTACTACACCTCCCATTGGACGCTGTAGATAAACCATAGACCACACGCGCACAGACACGATTTCGTCCGCAGTCCGAATCAACTTGTTCAACGCTCCGGATCTCAACCTGCATGCACCACTCACACTCGCTGCACGCCGTCGCGGTGCGTCCATCTTTTCTTTCCTATTGTCACTTGCTAATCATTCTAAACCTGTCTCACAGGCGAAGCCTCAACCTCTACAACCTGCTCAACCTCACAAGTCACACGCATACGCAATTCAACTTTGCAGGGACTGGGTGACGACCAAGGCGCGGTGACGAAGACTACATCGAACGGCCCAAGAACGCATCAATCCTTTACTGACACGAATCCTGCTTGTGAAAGAACGAGGCAGAGGCTGCTGGTGGTGTAGGGATTGGGGCCGTAGAAATAATGTTTTATTTACTATCTTTTTGTATTCTATAATTAAATATAATTACATTTTATTAATTATTTAATACAAAATTGTAAGCAAAGCCAAACCAAGCTGTTCAAATGCTTGTAGTGACTTATGGGGATTGTAAGCAGACATTATACTTTCTCAAATAAATAAGTATGTCTTGGTCTTGTAATCTTAGGAAGTATGTTATAATCACTTGTATAGCTTGACAATTTATACAATTATAATGGAAATTGCCAAGTTTTACAAGTATTCTTACTTACTTATTTAACATTGTACTTTCCTTGCTTAACCCCCTATGAAGATTATATTAACATTGACAAATTTTATAAAAGGTACAAAATGTATAGGATTACAAGCAAGTACAATACTTAAGACTTTTTCGTGATGTAGCAGTGGTACAAACAAGTGACATTTCATCTGGAGCGTTGGAAAACAGAGATAGTTTATATAAGAATGGCTACTGATAGAGCGCTGTTGGCAATGTGTTGAAACATTGAAACAGAACAATCAAAGATGCGCCTCTCACGGGTATCCATGAGTCGAATCATTGTAATGATTGATTCAGTCAATGTGGCGCCGTTACAGGCAAAGACAAGTGTTTTAAGCTCATACGTGTAATCAAAGAGGGATTGTCACTGAGGCTATTTTCATTGTTTAAAGGGTTGCCAAAGTAGATAGATATATTACTGTCGTGGCGCCCCATGTGGTCAATTTAAGACTATTTCACCCATTTCTATTCACCACAACCCTTATACAATACAAAAAGTTATAATTATAAATTACAACATCTTGTCTACAATATGCTAGTTTTATTTTTGTAAAAAAGTAAAAGTTAAATATTTTATTGATTTTATAAAATGACAAGTCAAAAAGTGTGGTTTGATGCGTCTGACCTACATGTGGACACCCCGTGGGAAAGGAATTTGCCCACTGTATCTAAGCACATATTCTCAGTACACAAACTCAATTTTGACTCTATCTAGAATAATTTGAATTGGAAACAGAAGTAATTACATTCTATCTGTTTTTTAAGTTTATTGACTAATGAAATTACAGGAACAGGCTTAATATAATGATTGGAAACTATTTAATTATATTCTACTATCTCTCTCTTACACTCTCCTCTATCTCTCACTCTCACTCACTCTATACTTCTAGTGTATACTAGTTCCAGTATAGAGTATATTACTTCCTCTTCTGAGAGTTGAGCTACTGTGTTCGTTTGGAAATCTCTCCTCTTATAAAGTAATACATATTCTACTATTTTATATAAATACTAATTAATTTCTTCCTCCTTTATTTCAAGCTTATATTCTTTCTCCTTTAGTTATCAAAGCTATACTACTCTAATACACTTGATGCTGTTTATTCTGAAGGACTTACACATTTAAAAAAAATTAATAACATTATTCTTACTACTAATACTTGTAATAACTATAATTTTTACAGTTGTAGAAACAATAACCTAGTACAATTTACATTTTTAATTTTAAGCTATGATATTTGGTACATATATACTTCCAACTTATATAAATATAAATAATAACTTTATTTTATAGATTATCAAAGTAGAATTGTGTATAAAAAATTATGAAGTTTGAGATTAGTGAATTTGTATTTCTAGTTTATCAAAATTATATTATTAGCAATATTCCTTATAACTTACTTAAAACTCTGCAGAAACTTCTACAAAAAAACACACTGATAAAAAATATACTATTACACAAATTTACAGAATTATAGCTCAAAATATTGACTATTTGAATTACTATAAAGTATTCATTGTGTGGGAAAGAGTTTGGTTCACTCCAAGAGCTCAATTTCTTGTACTCTTCGGATTGTAAGTATAATAACTTGTTTTGGTGCTCATTATATTGACTCAAAATTTTGAATATATATTTATTAGATGTTAAGCTACATAAATACAAAATTTTATGAAGTTTGAGCAAGAATTGAGGGAGAAATATTAAAAGTGTCCACATGTGGGTCTTGACCGCAAGGGGCGCCGCGACAGTATACTATTGTTCTATGCAACAAGTTTGAAAGCATGATTTGCATTGCCGGTTTCGGTCGTCAGTGATCAATTTTCTGAATACGACGCTGACACATACTCATCATTTGTCACGAGGCTCTTAAGTCTCAACGACGGACTGATCTCTACCACAGTCGACAACTCATACTATTGGCTTATATCATAACTCTGAATTTCAATTATACGATGAAGTCCTCGCTAGACTGGTTGATTGTGCTACTGGCTTTTGTGCAGCTCGTCTTCGCTCATGATAATGGAATGGACATGAGCATGGACGGTGCCATGTGCGTCTTCCCGACTCTACCGTTTCTACCTAAGATACATGTCCAACTCACTTGATTTTCAGGAGCCTATCGGCAGGAAACATGCTCTCGTATCTGCACTTTACACCAGGAGATGTCGTCTGGTTTCAGGGATGGGTTCCTCGAAGCACTCGCACAATGGTCGGTGCATGCATCGGACTCTTCCTCCTTGCGATATTTGAGCGTTGGCTTGCGGCTTTTCGAGGACTATCTGAAGCACATTGGCTCAAACAGTTAGTAGAGCTAGGTACCTTGATATAGAATATCGCTACTGACATGACGGACCATTGATAGTGCTCAAATGGAAGCCTCAAACAAACCTAACACGACTCAACGACGTTCTCTCCTCTCCATACTCTCTCAAGTCCCTGTTTACGACATGCCCCGCGGTGTCGTACACGCTGCACAGTCCGCTCTCGAAATCGCATTCATGCTCATCGTTATGTACAGCATACTTTCTTTAACTTTTCTCAATCAAATCCTTATTGACTTCTCTATAGGTCTTACCAAGTCGGCTTTATCATAGCACTCGTTGCTGGTCTCGGCGTAGGAGAAGCGCTATTCGGACGCTTCAATGTGCATGCTCACCTCTTGTAGCGGCTCAATTTCATTCCTTATCACTTCGCGTGCAAGTAAAGCCTATTGTACAGCTGGTTCATGCTCAGGCTGCGTTTTCGTTGATTGCTTACAGACCTGTGGTTGCGATTCTAGTATGCGTGTGGTTCTTTGAGAGTTTAAATGAAATTGTATAATATATATATATATTACCATGTGAGAATTTACGCTTGTCAGGCGACAAACAAAACACGCTGCTTTCTTTCAAGGGTACGTCCACACTAGGATAGTAGGAAATGTGCAGATGATTACTTCGGGCCGTGTTCCTCTGTCCACTAGCGGCATTTCTCGGTCCTCCGCAGCAATTATTTATAGTCCTATGTAGTGACCGGCCATCTCGGTCGTAGCTATCAGTAACCACACAGGGAACAAATACTCGTCATAGCGACAGCATTTCATTGTAAAGTACAGCTTTTTATCCGGATAGCTTTTTGTTGCCTACAGAGTCAACAACATTCTCTTATCATCTGAGTGGTAGATTAGTATACAATTTACAATGCAAGGACCAGCCTCGACATCAGCCTCAAGGAATGAAAGAAAGAGCTTGTGAGGCCCGGCACAGTCCTCCAGGATGAGGAAGATGGAACACAACATAAGTCGTACATATCTTCGTGAACATACAGCTATACTAGTTCAAAGCAAGACGGAATGAGTCCATGGCACCGAGACGCCATCACAAGAAGTACGTCTCCGTATGACACTCCACTTTGCGAGTCGAGCTCCGGAGTGCAAGTCGAGCAGCAGCATTCTTCGCCTCGGCGGTCAGGCTCTCCGGACCAGCAGCACAAATGGCCAAACTAGACCAAACCGAGTTCCCTTTCGTAGTCTTCTCCTTCTCGTTCGAGTCGTGAGACTCATTATCGTACATCGGAACACTCGGTGAAACGAATCCCTCAACCACCCTGCCGATGCTCGGCTTTTCAAGCAGAACATCGCAGTTCGGGATGGGCGGGACATCTTCCGGGTTACACAAACAAGTCACGTAAACGCTGATGTGTAAGTCCAATGACGACTCAGGCTCTCCAGCACGTGAAGCGATGGTCGAGAGTAGCGGTGCAATCCAGTGTAGTGCGCCGAATGAACGGATGTACCAGACGAATTCGATGCGTCGCGTTACCTCTCCATCATGACGACCTAGCCGAACGCAGCGACCGACGAGCTCATCGAGGAGTCCGAGCGTGAAGGTCATACCAGACCCACCCGCGACGAGAAATACGCACTCGAATGTTCCGAGATCCAGTGGACAACCGCCATATGGCCCATCTAGAAGCACTTGCACTGGCGCACTCACACCTGCAGGCATCCAGTCAAGTTGTTCCACTATGACCGACTCTTCCGTGTCAACGATCTTAGATGGCGGTGTCTTCACAAGATCCCCATCTTGCCTGCCCTCGACAACGACTTCAGACTGAACTGTCACAACTGACGGCTTAGGATCTTCGCCACTAACTCCTTTGGCCTTCTCAACAATACCGTATGTCTGCACGTAAGAATTGAGAGCTCGAGTCCAGTCTCCGCAGACTCTTGCCCCTAGAAGCAGCTCCCGACTCATACTAGTGTCAAGGCACGTTATCGAGCGGGGTGCATTCATAATTGTGAGTGGATGGCTTTCGAACATGCGATTTGCTATGAAAACGCGCAAGCGAACGTGCTGTCCTGCACTCCATCCCGACGTGCAGTCATGTATACGGACAATCGTCATATGAGCATCCGGAGCAACAAGTGTTGCATCCTTGAAGCGGAATCGGACGAGACGAAGGAATAGGTCAAATCCGTAGAACGCGAGTGGCGGATAGATATACGGTGGGGCGTATATTGTATGATAACACAGTGTCACAAAGAATGCAGGGGCGGCAAGAAGGCTGAGAAACTGGTTAACAATCACTTAGTTCCAGATTGTGAGCAGAATACCCACTGTATCAAACGAAACACCTGATACATTTGTGAACGTACAGGCCGCACGGAAGTGATACCAAGTATGCATAACATAGCAAAAGTAGCGACACCCGATGTCTCCTTTTGCGCGCCGAGAATCTGTAAATCATACTGAAGATGGTTGCGGATCCATAGTGAACCATGCACAGCTGCGGCAAGCACCACCCCTCGAGAGCACCAGCGATGTAGGAAGTTTAATTTCTCGTACCCAGAAGAGAGGAGAATGGCAAGCGGTGAATTCTTTGTTGCAAAAAGGAAGACGGGAGGCAGTTGGGCAATAGCAAGAAACCCGGCGCGATTCGGGTTGTCGATAAGCTCGGAATTCAGCGTAATGCAGAGAAGAATGGTAATATAGTAACCGACAACGAGAATAACTTGACGAGAGTCGACTAGTCAGAACGTAAAAGCGGCTAAGCAGCGAGAATTCCTACCTTGCCCAAGGTCAAGACCGATGATAGGCGTTGTCCACATTGTAAAAGCTTTACATGCTGACAGAGTATTATATGTCTTTCCGGTCAGCTTTCTCTCCTTGTGTTGCACAGCCTTTTGCTTCTCCGCACGAAGAGGTTCATAAGTGTTTAGTTCCTCACGAACGCCAGCGAGAGCATCCCATACCCGTCCAGCACGAACCGACTGGACAAAGGTCGGAAGGGCAACCAAAACGAAGAAAGCTGCAATAGAAGCCCAAACAATGCTGAACTTGCGCTGGTACGTCGGGTCTACTTCATAAGAGCTGTGAGAATCAAGTTAGACAAGATAAGACGATCGACTTGAAGAATACGTGCTTGTAGACCTGAAACTCGGTCGGAACGGGAGGTGGAGCATCAGACATGATATTGAAAATCGACTAGTGTGGTGTCTTCAATACCAACAAGAGTCGTTGTCAATGGCGAGAAGGTGAGGCGACTCCGATGTGTGACCGATAGCAACGACAAGACCATTACTAAGCACAATCCAAATATAGTAATAGAACCTCACGCCAATAGTTTGCTTACGTGTTTGAATGAAGATGAAGACAGAAGTGTTGGGACGGATTGTCCGTCCATAGTCTTCTCCATTTCCAAATCGAATAAACGTACAGCAATAAGACGAAAGGCAGGATGACCACCGTCTGTTAGAGTTCAGGTTTTTTCTAAACCCTGTACTACTACGTGAGTGTCGCAGGGCTAAGCAAGTTTTGTTTCAATAGCTGAAACACCAAGATAGAAGCAGAAGCAGAAGCAGTCGAGAGATGCCACAGCGGTGTAATTCACGAGCAACGTGTAAAGGAAGAGCCAGTTATGGTCGCAAAGCAGTAGAACAGGGACAAAATATGCGTGGAACCGCACAAAGTACGTGCGGCCCGCTGATGGCGTACACCAAGGAACACGCACAGGAACAGCAGTAAAAGCGGCTATATAGGCTGTCGCATCGACCGGAAGTATGACAAAGTTGAAGTACACCCTACATGACACTGTCGTCGGATCAGATAAGGGACATCGAGGTGCAAGTGCCAATTACTGAGAAAACCCGTTTACTGTACCTTCTACAGCAAGATACCTCTATCAGAAGAGTTAGAAGACGAAGTATAGACCACTATACTGGACTTGGCATGAGACATGGTTTGAGGTCGACGAGGGACGAGCCAAAGGCAGGTATCTTCCCTCCTTTCCACAGCAGTTTGAACGAGGCTCTCTAGCCACATGACATTGTGCTCTTAGACTTCATTGTCTAGGCCCATGCCGAAAGGTTGGAAGAAAATAAAGACGGGAGGCTGGTCAGAGTAGGACGAGGATGAGGGTCGAGGCGATCAGTAGAGTGTGGGGGAACGCAACCGTGGTCCAGCACGAGCCCTTTTTGCGAGTTGATTACGTCATGCTATAATTATGTCAATCTGGGGCTCAATTGACCAAGGCATCCGATGTGAATGATATTCTTTGCCTTCGACCATTGTTCATCCGACAAAAGGGTCAACTGTGTTGCTATTAATCTACTTTATACGTCTACGTTATTCTATAATCTCTAATCCTCGCTTTATCTTCATGTAATGAAGCGGAGTAGACACAATTACGCTATGGAATCACTGACACTGTCCGAACTACAGTCAAGCTTAAGGTTTGTCGAACCCTGAACACTCCAAGACATCTGAACCATATTTAAGTCTCTCGAACCATAAAATTCGGCCCTAATATTGATAAGTAGTTTCGGAGCAAGGATGGTCATGATTGCGATTGCGAATGTCTGGTACGCATTTATATTTATCTGGATAGCAACGCGTAAATTATGATTCTGCAACAGCAAAGTCAATTAGGTAAATAAAAGAGAAAATACAATGTGCTAACGATTTCATTAAGGTCATCTTCCATGAGGAATCCAAGTACGGCGCCGAGTTGGCAAACGGAGAAGATGCTTGATGGTTTTATGGAAAACACGGGTCAGGATGCAAAAAGAGAAATATAACTGAAGAAGCTTACATGGCGAAATATAAGATAGAGTCTCTCGCCATTGTTGCAGTTATATCCTGCGTCTGCAGAGTATCACCCCTTGAGACATGCAGGGGTTTCTTAAGTGTCTTCAACTCTGCCATCTTCAAGATCACCAGAAGAAGCAGAAGCAGCTCGACAAAAGAAGCTATGGACCATGCTATCGGAGACATCGGGATCGCAAGGACACATGAGGACGAATCACCCTGTATTATAAAACCGGCCGGGCCACCGATGAGGTCTATTTCGTCTGAATTTCGACAATACTGCTTTAAGTTCCTACATCTAAATACAATTGGTGCACTTACTGAGAATGTCAGACAGCTGCAGGATGTTGACAGCAAAGAGAGCCAATGTAATCACAGTGAATGCAATTAGGATTCTCTTGGCCCCACCGTATAAAGCGTAAACACGCATCATTAGGATCACTGTGATAAATATAATTTAATGGGTTTCTGTGGCGTGTCAAGTTGACTTCATGAGAAAGCTGACCTTCCGCGAGTAACATAACCATCGGCCCCAGACCAGTAAACAGATGGCCATTTAAACCTTTTGTAGAAGTCAATAATCTTTCAAAATCATAAAGATACTGTGCTCACAATTTTCGAGGAACGGTATAAAGCCTCTTTCTGTATGCTAATGAGCAAGGGATAATTAATGATAAGCGAAAGGGCTTGATTAACGATTATTGACTCACCTCTTGTTGTGCTAAAAGCGTGCTCCTCCACTGAATATGGAGGGTGCCTAGTGTAGCCAATCTATATATAAATCAATGACAATGTTAAAGTAAAAGTAAAAAATGCACACATCAAGAAAATAGTGCGGAGGTATCTTGCCTGCTCCTTAATTTCATACTGCTTCTAAGGTAATCGGAAAGATACGAACATACCAGCAAATACAGTATCTTTCCGGCAGACCAACGCTTTGTCTGAAACTCAACGACTTAACCGCAATTTGCAAATCGTAGAATGTCCTGTGTACGCACCCAAATATACTCGATCTAGAGCGCAGTTGTTAGCTGATATGAGCGCTCCTTTGGATACAAACAAACCTCCTCATCAAAGTGTAGCACTGCAACGGGCTTAGTGAAACTATAAGCGTCAAACAATGTAACTCACCACTATAATAGAGGTGCAAAGCAGTGCACGAGACTGTATAAATGATTAATGCGACTGTTTATATCATGATGCTGAAGCATGGGAAAAAATAACGTACTCGTAACTGCCTTAAAACTGGTGATTGCGTCTGCCTCTAGCTCAGAAGGTGGCAGGGACATATGGTACAAGTCAATATGTGTCTTCCATACAGTTTAATGTGCCTTTATATAGTCAGGTGGCAGCCAGAATTGTGCATCGACATAAGGCACTGCTGTGTGCTGATAACGCAAAAGTTGTCAAACACTGATAGCAGCCGGGGAAATGCAGTCTGAACGGAATAGAACAAAGACCTAGTGACTTTTGTGGATTTTGTTTATGATATCCGCCAATGGGCCCACATGAATGTTTGGTTTATCAGCCTTGTCATTTCACCAACAACGCTAAAAAAAATAGAAATGAATTACCTTTGATATCCTAATCCACAACAATTTCAAGCTTCGTATGAACATTCAGAACATATGTCTCAAACTGAGTACTAAACCGATTACAATACTTCTTATTCTAGGCTAGGAGAGTGTCGATCTCCATTAGCAGTATTTACACAGGCAGGAACAGAACAGCCTGCGTCGAGAAAATATATTTACAGTACTCAGCCAACAGATGGTTGAAGCAATCAGCGCAGGTAACACTAGTTTCATCCTGACAGATTTGATTGATGCTTTGGCCCGACCCCAAGGAACTGACAAAGGACTGATCTCCTTGGGACTGATTTCATTAAGTTAGTACATTCGATGCTTGCTTTACAGTCGATAAATCAATCAGCTGCCCATCTAAGGCAGTATGGTACAGCTTGGAAAACATAAAAATAGAATAATTCCATTATACCAGGTGCATATATTGACACTTACAATATTATCGTTATTCTACAGTTGAGGTCACTAACGACTGACCCTTGGCTGTTAGATCACTGTTCGACCCTACGATAGTACTAGAACCACCCATTCGTTGAGCGTCCCAAGACAACTGAGTCGTATCGATCCCAACCGGGCCATAGAACTCTGCGCGGATGTTAATGAGGAGCTTCGGAGTTAGGATAGCCATAATTGTTATTGCAACGGTTTGGTAAGCATTAACTTCAATCCGCAGGAAGTTCCTGCTGCTAGATCGCTAATGAAGATGTTTCACCGGAGGCTGAAGTGGACGGACGTAATCACTCACGATTTTATGGCTGTACACTGCAACGTCCACTAAGATCGCGCCGAGAAGGCAGACGGAGAATGTACTTTGTAGTCATTGTAAGAAGGGATAAACATATCAGAATAAGCAGGAATGTAAAAGACATACAAGGCAAAATAGGCAACAGAATCTCTTGCCATTACTGCTGTAACGTGCTCTGCCTGCGGGATACTGCCTTTTGCGAAGCGCAACCGAAACTGAGGCTTATTCAACTCTGCCATTCGCCAGACAACCAGAAGAAACAGGACCAGCTCGATAAAGGCAGTAAGGGTCCATGCAATACCAGACATGAAATTGGAATTAAGGCATGATTGAAGATCATTCTCGACGGGACTTGGTCCCCTGTCTGCACTAACAACATGTCCGTCTTGTATTCGGGAAGAGATTAGAAACGTCTTCAGAATCTATTATACTGACTACTTACTCAAGTTGAGAAAGGTCTGCAGGATGTTGAATCCAAATAGCGCCAACGACAGCACGACGAAAAATATCAGCATTCTTCTCGGTCCCTCGAATAACGCGTAGACACGCATTTGAAGAATGACTGCAAGGCAGGGAGTACGTCATTATCAGCAACCTTGAACCTCCTAGACGTGAGACGCACTTTGAGAGAATAGAATGACCATTGTCCCTACACCAGTAAATAGGTGACCATTTAAACCTTGAACGATGCGTTAGTGTCGAGCGAAACCGGTACAGTAAATATTATTACTCACAAGTCCGAATGCAATTCCCACTACTCGTCTTTGGCGAGAAGCATAAATAGCAACATCAAGCAAAAAGTAGCATTACGTTACATGTGGCAAATCCACAAACGGGTATCCCACGGCGAACCAAAGCAGGCTTGTAGGATAAGCATTACATTAAAATGAACTAGAAGCAGGATGCATTTTTCGTGCGTACATTAAGAATACAGCACCAGAGTATCTTGCCTATGATTGATTGTAAGGATGTCGCTTTCGAATGGCGAGAAGTAAGGACATACCAGCAGGTATGCGACTTTCCCAGCAGTCCATCGTTTTGACTATGACCCATCATTACTGACAACATGCAGGTATTTCAAGCTTATGAATACCTACCCAAATGTATTCCACCTACGACGAGTCCGCATCAATCTGGTGCACGGAGTTATCAACCGACTTACCTCATCATCAAGGTGTAACACTGTTAATCATGTTGACGGGCGTCAAAAGTAGATATTTGGTCGCTTACCAACATAATAGAAATAAAACGTGATGCACGCAACTGCAATATTATCATCAGACCCTCGACTTCATAGCAGAAATTATGGTGACGCACAAAATACCACCTTAAAGACTGCTCCTTCACCAGCAAAGCTCACATTGTCACTAGAGCTCATCTCAGGGAGGTATTAGTTCACATGTCCGCTTTGCGTGTAGTCGTAGAACCCTTATAAGCAAATGAGTGTGGAGATTATGTGTGTTCTTAGAGATATGGACAGCGCCATGAACGCTAATAATACATGAGACCATCAAGCGAATGCACTGGATGTGGATTAGAATAAGAATTGATTGTGGGGCATAACAACAAATGATGCTTACACATGATATCAGAGGTTAATTCATGGGAACATCTACTTAGTGGATGGATCCTAGCGGTGATTTGGGTGAAGGTGTGCGAATATGTTGCAGATTGTCCAAATGTGTCATGGTATTAGACTCGGACGGAGCAGTGCGGAAAAGTGCTAAAAGTACATCACGTGCCTTCCGGTAGATCCCATTCATCTCACTGCCAATAAACACCTTCTCTCACATCTTCACAGCAACAACAAAAATGCCAGCATACGACCCCGACAAATGGATCTCAACCCTCCTAACCTGCCAGCACCTCCCCGAAAACGACATGAAACTCCTCTGCGACCGGGTCCGCAGCATCCTTCTTGAAGAGTCCAACATCCAACCCGTCAAGAGCCCTGTCACCGTCTGTGGGGACATACACGGACAATTTTGGGATTTACTTGAACTTTTGAGGAGGGGAGGGGAGGTGCCTGAGAGGAGTTATGTGTTTATGGCGAGTGGGTGGTTTAATTTGCTTTTCGCGGAGGGTGAAGCTAATTCGAGATGCGTATGTGTGATAGGGTGATTTTGTAGACAGAGGGTTTTATAGTCTTGAGACTGTGTCACTGTTGCTTGCATTGAAGGCACGGTATGTTGCCTACCCTGCTTTCTGGGTGCATATGAGCTAATCGTTATGATTAGATATCCGGATAAAGTCACACTCCTGCGAGGAAATCATGAAAGTCGGCAAATCACCCAGGTGTACGGATTCTATGGTTCGTCTCCCAGAACTCATAGTATTTCGGGAATATTTATTAATGTCACCCAGATGAATGCCAGCAAAAATATGGCAGCGCCACCGTATGGAAGGCGTGTTGTAGTGTGTTTGATTACTTGAATCTTGCTGCTGTGAGTTTACAATGGTGTACCTCACGATGGCATGGTTTACTAAATGAATATGCTCACAGATAATTGACGGCGAGACTCTGTGTGTACATGGCGGTTTATCACCGGATATCCGAACACTGGATCAAATTCGACTATTATCGCGAGCCCAGGAAATTCCGCATGAGGGTGCTTTCTGCGGTGCGTAGATTAGGTCCAATACATGTTGATCCTATTAACTTCAACTGACCGCAGATCTAATGTGGTCTGACCCGGACGACATCGAGAACTGGGCTGTAAGTCCCCGAGGGGCCGGCTGGTTATTCGGAGGGAACGTCACTCAAGAAGTTCGTCCCCAGTTCTTCCACCCCACTCGCCACTCATCATCTTCTTTCTATCCTTAGTTCAACCACGTCAACTCTTTAAAGCTCATCGCACGTGCGCACCAACTCGTACAAGAGGGGCATAAATTCATGTTCGACGAACAACTCGTCACGGTCTGGTCCGCACCGAACTACTGCTACCGGTGTGGGAATCTCGCATCGATTCTTACACTTGGCGAGAATGGGGAACGGTCGTTTACGGTATTCGGAGCTGCGGAAGAGAATTCGAGGGATGAGGCGATGCTGAATGGGCGGAAGGTAAGTTTATTCGTCTTCCAAAGAAATTCAATTGCTGACTGAGAGACGCTCTAGAATAATATGCAGTACTTCGTCTGAGGTGTTTTAATAGCTCATTTCCCTATGTATACTAGACTCCCTTGATCAGCACGATTGTGATTCTCTGCTCTCCGAGCGATCCCGCATTGCTTCCCTTCCTGGCGAAACCTAGCTGAAATTCACGCGTTGTGCTAAATTAGCTGTAAACCTTCGCATTTTCCCTGAACATCCGATGCTAGTGAGAGTAAGACAAATTACTAGTCGAGTTGTTATCTGCAAACGTTTGAAAGAACATCGATGAGTCGGGATAAACTTCGGTGCTGCCAGCGCTGAGCGGTATGAGATTGAGAATATTGAGGGCATATAGGACAACGTTTGAGGATTATGTCATCGCAGCGTCATACCGTCCCCTCATATACATAACTACTTTAATACTTATTCCATCTCTTTCTATACGCCCAGCAATTCCACCGCCATCTTCCCTCCTTCCTTCCCCTTTCTCTTCTTCACCGTTGCAGTAGACGTCGACGATGAGCTCCTTCCGCAGTACGTACTCAAATGCTGTTAACGAAGTGGGAAGGAGAAACCAAGACTGACGTTGTGTCTTGTCTAGCACATAGAGTTGTGATTGCCTCGCTCTTCCTCCCTGAGACGGTCTGTCTTGGCGAGGGGTCGGAAACATCAACGCCAACGATCACGAAACCAGAGTTGAGTGCGCCGAGCTCGGGTCCAACCACGGGCCCGGGTGCTACGCCGCAGCGATTACTGTCTGGTGCAAGTAGTCCGCGCTTGCAGATCTCGAAACCACCGACATTCGCAAGACAGTTCTCTACCCCTGCCCCGCCACCGAGGAGTATCGTACAAGATCTTACGGATAAGGTGAGCATAATGGTTAATCCGTGTATCTTGCCTTCTGGTTGATTGGATTCCACTGTGCATACAGTCAAGAGGGAATACACCCGCCGTCGCCCATTCACCTGGGCAAGAAATCGCCAATCCATTCAGTACACTCAACCCTCTTGCTGCGGCCGTGCATGCACTAGGCGATGGACCTGCTCGTCGTTCACCTCAAGGTCCAGAACGTCTCCAACCGCGTGTCCGGCGGGCCTCACGCTCCTCCTCTCGTCGCCCCGGAATCGAGCGCACGATGTCAAACGGCGAGTCCAAGACTAAGTGGCACCTTGAATCAAACCCAAGGTGTAACGGTGGGCTGTACAACGCCGTCAATAGTGTTCACGATCGTCTCAGACGGAAGTTATGGGTTGGCGTACTGGGCACTTCTACCGACTCGTTTGACGAGGAGCTTCGCACGGACGTAGATAGACGCATGCGCATAGAGGCGCAGAGCCTTCCTGTTTGGATCCCGGATGATGAGTTTTCAAAATGTTACGATGGATTTTGTCATCAGGTCCTTTGGCCGTACTTGCATTATGCGGTTCCTGACGCACCGAAGACGAAGTCTTTCTACGAATCGGAAACGTGGGCAAAATATTGTTCTGTCAACCAGAAATTTGCAAATGCCATTGTTGCTAATTACGAGGATGGTGATATTAGTAGGTTTTTTGTTTTCTATACTTTATTTCCATATCTCATTGCATGACGTAGTTTGGGTGAATGATTACCACCTGATGCTCGTACCCTCGATGGTCCGAGAGAAACTGCCCAACGCAGCCATCGGCTTCTTTATGCACGTGGCGTTCCCATCATCGGAGATCTTCCGTTGTTTGACCATCCGAGAGCAACTCCTCAGAGGACTACTCGCCGCAGACCTCGTTGGCTTCCAAACCGCAAATTTTGCACGGCACTTCCGTCAGACCGTCTCGCGTATTCTGACGCTTGAGTCTGTTCCGAAAGGAATCCAGACGGAATCACGTTTCGTCGATGTTGCGGTATTCCCGATGGGTATTGACGTCAAGGCTTTGAATATCCGGAGACGTGATCCTGAAGTCGCGGAGTGGGTGAAGCATCTGCAGGATCGGTATGCGGGCCTCAAGATGATTGTCGGCCGCGACAAGCTTGACGAAATCGCGGGCATGCGACATAAACTCAAAGCTTTTGAGGCCTTCCTCGAGAAATATCCCGATTTTCAAGGGAAAGTCGTGCTTATCCAAGTCGCGTTGTCAACAACAATGGAGAACGAACTGCAAGGAAATGTAGTCGACCTTGTCGGAAGGATCAATTCGAAGTTCTCCACACTTACATACCAACCGATCGTCTTCCTTCACACAGATGAAGTGACGTTCAGTCAATACCTCGCGCTACTCACCGCAGCAGACGCCTTCCTCGTTACATCTCTGCGCGAAGGAATGGCCTTGCGTACACATGAATACGTCGTCTGCCAAGAAGGCCGCGCTCGTCCAAGTCCACTCATCCTTTCCGAATTCACAGGATCCTACTCCTACAGCGGTTTCCGCGCATGCTTACCCGTCAACCCATGGGACACACGCATGACCGCCAATGCGATCTACGCAGCACTCACCATGTCCGACACTGAGGCGCGTTCGCGCTGGAAAGACTTACACGCACATGTCATCACGCAAACAGCACAAGCATTCGTCAGTGCGTTCCTCACGCGTTGTTTGCGTGTACATCTCGAACACGAGAAAGCTGCGGAGAACACTGAGGATGACGCCGGTGCTGGTCGTGCACCGCCGTTGGATATCGAGCGCGTGCTACCGCGTTATCGACATGCGTATAAACGGCTTTTGCTTATCGACTTTGAGGGAACGATTTGGTTGCGCGATCCGTGTAGCCAGGAATTTAATCCACCTCAGGATGCATTGGACGTGCTGGATGCATTGTCCAAAGACAATAGGAATGAGGTTTGGTTGTTGAGTGGACTGCCGAGAGCTGGCGGACTCGAGAAGATCGCGGAGCAGGTGCCGACCATCGGCTTAGTGTAAGTTTATACTCGATTTTAATAAAAAAAATTCTTCATATTCTCTGTACTGACTACATTTCTCAGTGCGGAGAACGGTTGCTTCCTGAAACCACGCGCCATCAACGGCCAACATCAACCATGGATCAACACAGTAGCCAACTTCAACCTCTCGTGGAAAGCTCCGTGTCTCGAGATGTTGCAATACGTGAGTCTCCGTTCCTCTACCTTCCTAATAATAGTCATACTGATAACTTATCTTCGCTTACATTCATGATAGTTCTCTGAGCGGACACCAGGAAGCCTCGTCGAAGAGCGAGAAGCCTCCATCGTCTGGCGTTTCTGGACGAACCAATCCGAGTCCGTAGCAGAACGTCAATGGGCAAGGAGGCAAGCCGCCGAAGCGCAGAATCACATATTCGATAGGTTCGTTCTCTCCAATTCAATAAAACTCTCCCTACTATAATATTCATGTATTATTACCGTTCAGTTTGGGCGAGAAATACAGCCTCCGCATAATCCCGGGCCAAAACGCCTTCCTCGTCCTTCCAAATAACGTCTCCCGTTCCTCAGCAGTAGGCGCCATTCTCGCTCCAGGCGGACCCGTCCGCTTCACTTCCACCCACTCCTCCCTACCACATTCAATTTGGTCAAGCATGTCAATCGAGGCAGATGCTTACCCCTCATACACATACGGCTCAGGCCAACTTGATCCCGAAGGTGATTTGGGAATCGAATTTGTGTTTGCCGTGAGTGGGGACGAGAAGTTGTTGAGGAGGTTGAACGAGTTGGAGTGTGCGGAGACAGTGAGTTCGGGGAGTAGAGGGGAGGGAAGTGGGGTGGGTACGGATGCGAAGTGGACGATTGAGCCGAGGGAAGTGTGTAGAGTCCTTGGGGAGTTTGCGAATGTAAGATAATCTAGTCTTGCTTGTGGAATGATTGTATAAAGGAGAAAACGGACCGAGATGAAGTTTATGTAGACTAGGATGTGCAAATGGAATGTATTGAATATCTAATTAAAATGTATGTGCTTTCAATTATGCAGCGTTATGATACATTGCAAGGTGTCGTTGCATTGGGTCTCACATTTTGTAAGACGTTTTGACTATCCCTATGAGTTCAAGTGTAGAAACGCCATTGTCTGCAGTCCGCACACTTCCTCCAGGCCTTCCTCCTACTTTTCCCACTTGTCGAACTTCTTGAGCCTTATTAGCTTTATGTTTTCCTATGAGTGTTTTATAAAAGCAGTCCACAACTCAGCTCTGTGTAATCAGTACTCTATTATGTGCTACATTGAACGTTGGTCGCCTCTATTGTTCAGTGATACTAATGATGCGAGTCTTTGCATTATTCGGGGCGAACCAGAAAATGTTAATTGCATTCATAACATTAACATTACTTCTATTTGTGTTCAACATCCTTCAAATCACTTTGGATCTCGGTAAGGAGCTTCGTTTGTTACTATGCACTGGTCTTGATAATGCCCATTTACTAAATATGATGTTCAAGGACAATGGGACTTCGGGATAAACCCTCTTCGAGCTGCTAATCAGACAATCGGCATGGAATGTCTATATGTGCCCTACATGTCTGGCATCTCTTGGACAGTGATTTCTTCTGCCAAACCACTTCTATTTTTAATGGTACTATACAAGACCATGCAATTGAGGAAGTCCGAGATTCCAATGCATATATCAGGGAATGATGTGTCAAAGACACAGAACATTGCTACATTAATAGCAAGCAACTCTATTGTTTATTTTGTCATGTAAGCATTGTGTTGTCTACTTTCTTAATAACTCTTTTATTGACTATTGATCATCTATCAATAAGGATATTCTCCACTTGTCTCCTTCGTGCTATTTTAGTATTTATTGCTGAGAAGAATTTTACTGTGAGTTAATACTATGCCTACTTTGTTTTATGTTTATAAACCTGCCTCTAGACCAAAACTTTCCAAAGTTTGTTTACTTTAATGTGAATGCATATCAAACAGTTGCTATAACAATTATGACAATCCTTGCTCTGAAGATACTGATCAATATTCGAGCAGAGTATTATGGGTATGTTGGGAAGATTGTAACTGAGCTTTCTTGGAGTGCACAGGTGTAACCTCTGAGGTTACACACGTGACTTTAGTTAAGTATATAAAGGGCTATTTGTAGACACTTAGAGATTATCTTTGTACTTGCTCCTGTACTTAGGTCGACCTCTCCAATCCCAGGTCTTTGCCTGTTCTGTGTTCTTGAGTGAGGCTCTGGCCTTTACACTTTTTTTTGAACATCACAAAATTTGGGGATTACCTCTCATCTACTGTCTTTCACTCATGCCACCAGATTGTCAGCCTCCCCCCCCTGGCTTCCCCCCACACGTCCACTATCTCCTGCACACCTACAGTACTCTACAGTAATACTCTAGTTAATCACAAACTTCACAAATGCCATGCTGAATTCCTGTTCACTCTTGAAGGCTTATGGGGGAGAATATTACCACCTGCCAGCCCACCTTCAATCTCCCAACAGACCCTCATCAGATTGGTCCCAGGATTCTAGGAGAATGTGTTAGGAAGATTGTATACAGTCATGCTAGAGTTGTGTACATTGTGCCTCTATTATGAGATGATTAGTTCATCAACGGACGAACCACAAGACAATGACTTCATAATGTCTCAGTTAGAATACATACAATATAAGGACGAAAGACACTGAGCAGTCAATCATCACCTCACCCCTTGTCTATGCATGCCCCCCTTAAGTTCTCCCTCTCAACAGGTTATGAGCCTTGAGCTCCCTGCATACATGCATCCACTGTACACTCTAAACTCTTTACTTGCATACATTCGCACACATTTGCATCATGGTTCCCCCATGTACAGATACACACTGTAAACCAGCCAATGTACCTAAATACTTTGGTCAAAACATCACAATGCTTAAGACTGAAGCGAATTACAAGATGTGGCACTACTGCATTGTTTCTAGTGTTACAGCTACATGCTTTGAACACTTACTAAAGGATGAACTGCAGAACAAAGCTGAGAGGGAGATGGCTAAGGCCATTCATGCATGCATAGTCAATAACATTGCCAACACAATATTGGCAAACTATATGCACTTTGATACATCTATCCCTCAGTTAATGAAAGTGCTTGAAGAACACTTTAACCCTCAGACAGCATGTAAAAAGGCCATTGACGAATCAGCACTGTTTATTTGTAGAGACCATGTAAAACATTTCGGACGTACATTAGACAGACTTGAGGAAGCATACACAACTCTGTCTGCTAACAGTGATCCACCATGCAACTCTACATACAAAGCAGCAATATTGCTTGCCACTCCTGAGCAATATACACACATAGTAAATACAATAATACAATCTACTGATGCCCAAAACAAAGGCAAACCAGTCAATGAACATAAGAAAGTTGAACCAAAGCAACTAATCCTTACATTACAGAACACCTACAACAATTACTGTGCTAAACGAGCACAAGATTCCAATGATTGGACGAAGAATAATGTATGCATTAATACAATGTATAAAGCCAATAAGCAGAGGAAATTCAATCTGCCAAATCTGTTCAATCTGACAAAAGCAAAATGTTTCAATTGTAGAAAAACAGGACATTTCTCTAAGGAATGCTGCAAACCTCCTACTGAAGCTACAAAGCTTGCATGTGCCAAACATTAGGCTAACATTGTACATAAAACGAATCAAACTGTGGAAAACACAACAAACACATTTATTATTGAAAACCCAAACGAAAGCAACGTTGAAATGAATGATAACGCCTACACTCTTATTCTGAGCAACCAGGACAAACAATTCGAACAATACGTTTCCTGAGTATGTACCAACATATTTACAAATACATCATAGCTACAGAAAT